GAGGGAGGAAGGGAGAAAGGGAAGGAGGGAGGGAGGAAGGGGGCGAGTTTCACAATCTTGGCCCTTGAGACTCATTTTTTTCAGAGTCTGGGCATCAGGACTCGAGTTTGAGGAGTGGAATCCTAATCACTGTCATGTGGAAACCAGATTAGAACCCAGACTCCAAAGAATCCGAATATATCACCCCCCTCAGGTGTCCAGGAAACCCTCTGGGCACCTTCTGGGCAACCCACCAGCTGGTCACACGGCCCAGGAACAAGCGCTTGGGCTCAGCGAGTCCACTTCTTAGGGAAGGTCCTTCGATTTCCTTTCCTGCGTGACATTCACACCGACAGGCGCGCCCCGGGCCGGGCAGTAAATTCTCCTGTGTCCGGCTCTCTCTTCTCCACGCGAAACCCATCCACGTTCATTCTCGTGGTCCTAGGATATTCCACTGCGCGGGCCGCCCGTGGGATGTGCACTCTCCTGTGGGTGGCTGTTTGGCTGCTGTCCCGTCCCGGGCTGCTGTGGGCATCCCAGTGTCTCTTGGCTTCGTACGTTCAGCTTTGGTAGGTTGGGCCCCACGGTTTCCCAGAGCAGCAGTTCCAGCCAGACTGGCTGATAGACAACACAAGCGTGGTCCCTTAGCTTCTCCGTGCCTCAGTTTCCCTCTTTATTTTTTTTATTAGCCAAATATTAACTAAGCACCCGCTGTGTGCCCGATGCCATTCTAGATGCCGGACGCAGCAGGGAAGAGCTGACACTCCAGAAAATGGGCATCGTAATAACAACTTAGTTCATGGGGTTACTCCTGGAACGTAATAGGTGGCTGGTAAATGTCATCTATTATTTGAATTATTATAAAATAATAATCGTGGTAATGATGGGGTTTTGTTTGTTTTTTAAAGAAAGAGTGTTTTTAAAAACATTTTTATTGATTTTAGAGAGAGAGGAAAGGAGAGGGAGAGAGGAACATCAGTGTGAGAGAGAAACCTCCATGGGCTGCCTCCTGCACGCCCCCTGCTGAGGGTCGAGCCCGAAACCTGGGCCTGTGCCCTGACCGGGAACGGAACCAGTGCATGGGGTGACACTCAACCACTGAGCCACACTGGCCAGGGCGGTAATTATGTTTTATATGTAGATATAAACATGCAAATAGAATTTGTTGTATAAAATAATAATGCTATTCATGAATTATCATTAAATGCCCTTTAGTCCGAGGCTGGTTAACAGGCATGAGATGCGCAGACAGCGGACTGATTTAGAAGCTGCTGTGAAGATAGGAGGCGATGTGTTCGCAGATAGGGAAACTGGCCAAAAATGGGTGAAGTGGACAAGATTAAGTGAGGACACAGTGGGTGTCGAATGTTCCCATTTCTGTTTAATTTATTAAAAGGGGAATAACATACACAGACTGACTGAATTGCTTACACTCAGAGGATTTCCTGGGTTTTAATCAGTAAGAGCTGGGAAGGGTGGAGGCGCCTTAGGGTGGGGAGAGAGGGTGCACCTAGATAGCAGAAAGCGGTGACAGCCACTGACATGTGTCTAAGGCTCACTGTGGACCAGGTGGTGCACTCAGTTCTTCACTCCTATTAACTTGGTGAATTCTCACAACACCCTCTAATGTAGGTATATTATTATTCCCATTTTATAGACGAGGCAAGTGAGGCACAGACAGGTTAAGTTGCTCAAGGCTACGCAGCTGGTGAGAGTTTGAGTTTTTATTTTATTTTTTTAGATATTCACCTAAGGATATGTTTTTAGTGATTTTTAGAGAGAGAGAAGGGGAGGGAGAGAGAGAGAGAGAGAAACATCAATGTGAGAGAGAAACATTGATCGGTTACCTCCTGTATGCACTCTGGTGGGGGATTGAACCCAAAACCTAGGTATGTGCCCTGACACAGGAATCAAACCTGTGACCTTTTGGTGCACAGGACAACACTCCAACCGAGCCACCCAGCCGGCGCTCCAAGGGTTTGAGTTTTTAAAGCCCGCCCATGTTTGCTCTAGTGATGAAAATAATATGAAAACAGAGGGCCAAGTTTCACACACACACACACACACACACACACGCACACACGCACACACGCACACGGAGTGGCTTGGCCTCTCTGCAGCTACTTTGCTTCCACTTGACTGTAGGCCGGNACACGCACACACGCACACACGCACATGGGGTGGCTTGGCCTCTCTGCAGCTACTTTGCTTCCACTTGACTGTAGGCCGGGTGGAGCGCCAGAGGGGAGCGCCCCAACTTCCCCTCTGCCCTTCCTGTTGTGTCAGCCCAGCTGGAGCCTGCAGGGCAGTGCTGGCCAGGCCTGGAGGCGGCCCAGAGCCTGGGGACAGGCGCTCTGGCAGGTCTACCAGCCCCCACTCTGTTTCACATGCTTTACACACATTAACTCCTCAAGGCCTCCCCAAACCGGTGAGGTAGGTTCCCTGGGGTGACTCCCACTTCTCAGGCAAACTGAAACCGAGTCCCAGAGCCTGGGTCTGCTTGGCGCCGCGGGCTGTACGGCCTTCTCGCTCTCCCGAATTTTTGGATGATAATATTTTTGGATGATAATATTCTAGGGCCCGGAGTACCGGAGTGGGGCTAACACAGTTCGAAACTCAGTTCTGTTATTTGCTTAGCTGAGCGATCTTAGGTAAGTTACTTAACTTCTCTATGCCTCAGTTTCCTCATCTTCAGAGTGGGTATAACAATGGTATTAAAGTCGGAGGGTTGTTCTAAGGATTAAACAGTATGATATTTAACGGTGCTTGGAACAATACCCAGCACATAACACAAGGTGTTCAGTAGACGATGACTTCTAATAATAATAATAATTATAACAACAAAGATAGTTATTATTGCTACGAAAGATCATGTCACTTCACTGCTCAGTACCCTCCCCTACCTCCCATCTCGCAAAGTCCTAAATGCCCCCTGTGGCCCCTGATAGCTCTCTGTTCTTACCTCCCCCAACCCCCTCATTTACTCCACTTTGGCCAAACTGCTGTTCTCGATGTTCCTTGAATGTCGCCAACACATTTCTACCTTAGGGCCTTTGCACTGGCTGTTCCCTCTGCCTGGAACCTTTCCCCGAAACCCCCATACAGCTCCCTCCCTCACCTCCTTTATGGCTTTGCTCAAACATCACCTTCTCAGAGAAGCCCTCCCTGGCCACTCATTTAAAATTCCAACACGGGGAATTAAAAATTCCAATTGTGATTTTTTTTTTCTTTTGCCATAGCCTTTATCACCTTTGGAAATACTGGGTATTTTGCTTATTTATTCTTTCACTGTCTGACTGCTTCCACTAGAGTGGCAGCTCCAAGGGCAAAGGGGTTTCTGTCACCTTGTTGACTGCTGTGCATCCAGGGACTCCACTGGAGAAGGGACACAGGAGTTGTGTTGAATGAATGAATGAAGAGAATTCAACATTTTATTTTTCCTGTCTACCTAATACTATTATTACTTTTAAAAATTCCATTTCTCGACCTGGTTGCCAGTTACCCAGTTGTTGTGTTCAGCTTGTGAAACCCAGAGAGTGCGCTTTGCAGTCTGCATGTTTTACTATGATCCATTTACATAAGAAAGGGATGAGTCCTGGCTGGGGTGCTCAGTGGGTTGGAGTGCCGTCCTGTACGCCGACAGGTTGTGGGCTCCATCCCAGTTGGGGCACTTGCAGCAGGCAACCGATCGAGGTTTCTCCCTCTCTCCCCCTTCCCCACTAAACTCAATGGAAATATCCTTGGGCGAGGATTTAAAAAAAAAGATGAGAAAATTGCCCCACAGGTACATTTCCATTGCACCAAGATTCGAAAATATAGATAAGGGGAACTAGGTCAAAGACTTTTGCTGTGACTAGTTATTAACCCTTCCCTCTGCTGGATATTCGGATTCCAGTATTTTCAGTTCTAGAATTCCATGCTGCTAAGAGGCGAGTGTTCCAACATATCAGTGCTCTAGAACGTCATTGTCCAATAAGGTAACCACTAGCCACATGTGGCTATTTAAATGAATGAAAATTAAGTAAAATTGAAAATTTAGTTTCTCAGTCGCCATGGCCCCATTTCTTTAAAAAAAAAAAAAAAGTTCTTATTGATTTTAGAGTGAGAGGAAGGAAGAGGGAGAGAGAGAGAAACATTGATCAGCTGCCTCCTGCACACCCCCTACTGGGGATCGAGCCCCANAGTCGCCATGGCCCCATTTCTTTAAAAAAAAAAAAAAAGTTCTTATTGATTTTAGAGTGAGAGGAAGGAAGAGGGAGAGAGAGAGAAACATTGATCAGCTGCCTCCTGCACACCCCCTACTGGGGATCGAGCCCCAAAGCCAGGCATGTGCCCTGACCAGGAATCGAACTGGCAACCTTTTGGTGCATGGATCGATGCTCCAACCAACTGAGCCACACCGGCCAGGGCCCTAAGGTCCCATTTCAAATACTCAGTAGCCACCTGTGGCTGGCAGCTACCACAGTGGGCAGCCCATCATCGTCGAGAGTTGCATAGGGCAGCGCTGCTCCAGAATTCCAAGTAACAATTGGCTTGGGTTCTAATAGTTTAATATTTCAAAATCCCAAGAGTTTTGACCACGATTCTGTTCTAATGTTATAATACTATGGAATTTCAAGATGCTCATAAGCTGGGTTCTAATACTGTCATGTTTTAGAATTCCAGAATGTCCACCAGCCAGTGCTCCGACACTCGCATTCCAGAATTCCAATATTCGAATAGGCTGGGGTTCTAGGCTGGAACACTCTAGAATTCCAAGATGTCAACAAGCTAGTTCCAACGGTATTGCTAGAATCCCAGCATTCGGACTCACCGTGGTTCTAATGTCATGTCTTAGCTCCTAAGACCCTGACGGGCTGGGGTTCCCCACCCGAGGATCCCAAGGGCCTGAGAGTTTTTGTTACCGAGGTCTCGTGACTTTTGTCTCCTGCCCAGGTGCCTGGGGCCTGGATGGAGAACACCTCTGCCGCCCACGACTACGGGCACTATGAGGAGATTCCGGACTTCCCCGTGGACTGCGCCGACGGCACCTGTGCCGCCCTCGGGCCCGTCCGTGTGGCGCCCCTCCTGCTGTACGCTGCGGTCTTCCTGGTCGGCGTGCCGGGCAACGCCATGGTGGCCTGGGTGAGCAGGAGAGAGGCCCGCCGCAGGGCGGGAGCCGCCTGGTTCCTCCACCTGGCCGTGGCTGACCTGCTCTGCTGTGTGTCCCTCCCGGTCCTGTCGGTGCCCCTGGCCCGCGGGGGCGAATGGCCATACGGGGCGGTGGGCTGCCGGGCCCTGCCGTCGGTCATCCTGCTGTCCATGTACGCGGGCGTCCTGCTCCTGGCCGCTCTCAGCGCGGACCTCTGCCTGCTGGCCCTCAGGCCCGCCTGCTGGGCTGTGGACCGGAGGGCCTGCCGGGTGCGGGTGGCCTGCGGGGCGGCCTGGGCCTTGGCCTTGCTGCTGACTGTGCCCTCGGCCTTCTACCGCCGCCTGCACCAGGAGCACTACCCCCATCGGCTGGAGTGCGTGGTGGACTACGGCGGCTCGGCCGTGGCTGAGAACACAGTGACCGCCACTCGGTTTATGTTTGGCTTCCTGGGGCCGCTGGCGGTCGTGGCCACCTGCCACAGTGCCCTCCTGTGCCTTGCGACCCGACGCCGCTGGCCACTGGGCACAGCGGTTGTGGTGGGCTTTTTTGTCTGCTGGGCCCCCTACCACATCCTGGGGCTGGTGCTCACCGTGGCTGCCCCACACTCCAAGCTCCTGGCCCGGGCCCTGAAGGCTGAGCCCCTGATTGTGGGCCTTGCCCTTGCTCACAGCTGCCTCAATCCTGTGCTCTTTCTGTATTTCGGACGGGCTCAGCTTTGCCAGTCACTGCCAGCCACATGTCGCTGGGCCCTGCAGGAGTCACAGAGCAAGGATGTAAGCATGGTCAGCAAGAAATCCACCAGCCACGACCTGGTCTCGGAGATGGAGGTGTAGGCTAGATGGAAACCGGTTTATATTTTCCTATCCCATTTCACAAAGCTGGCTTCAGGCATAGGTAGATCCAGGGGCTCAATGCTATTGCCACTTATTCCTTTATTCACTCAACAAACATGTATCATGCACCTGCTAGGTTGCGAGGCCCTATTGTAGGCACTGGGATGTAGTAGTGACCAAAACATGCTGAGATCAGATGCTGCTTGTTTGAGAGATTTTAGGAAAGTCTGAAGCATGAGACAAGACAGGCCATTCCTACGGAAAAGCCACTGGAAACAGCTTGGCAGGGCCCATGGGTTGGGTGGGGCGGGGTCTCAGGAAATCACTAGGGCAGGGCAAACAGCATTAGCCAGGTTGGTGGAGACTCAGATATGGTGCCTGCCTGCCAGCTCTGCGGAGAAAGGGCTCAGCAAAGGAACAGTAGCCTCTGCCAGCACTTCTGTCTGGAGAAAGCTACTCCTCCAACCCTTGCCCTGATGCCTCCCCATGTGTCCCTGGTGTCCTTTGAGCTGCTGCCCCAGTGTTGGCACTCAGAGGGAGTGAGTCCAAGTAAGTCCAAATGTGGGCATTTTAAGAGGAACTGCCCAGGACTCTGGCAGCCCTGTCTCATTCAGGTTTTTACAGCCAGAAATTATGGGACTTCTCTTCCTGGCACTGGAACCCTGGCCTGGGGGGCCTGCTGTGGGGCCAGGATCCCTCGCTCCTCAGGGGGAACCTCACAGCCAGATATACCTCCTGCTTTTTATCCGACACACATGGGTGTGGGACCAGCCCCTTCTGCAACCCTGTCCCTCCTACCAGTCTTGACGTGGCTTCTCCTCTGTATCCTTAGTTGTAGGACTTCCATTCAGCTAGATTTCAGGTGATTCTGAATGATGATTGTTCCGTAGCTTAGTTGTAATTTAGAAAGTTACAGAGGAGGTAGAAGGAGGCTGTGTAGGCTCAGGAAACAAGTTACAGAAGCAAAAGAAGGGCCCTTGGAGCTCAGGAGAGGGAAAGAGAAATGTAACGCAGCTGAGGGGAGGAAAAAGCACGGACATGCTCCCATGCTCCGAGAGGGAGAGAGCCAAAAAAATCTTTTTCTTTTTTTGTAACTTCCCCTTTTTTGTTCTTAAGTTTGCTTGTTCTGTTTATGTTTTTGTTTACCATGAATATATGACTTCCTTAAGTTTCCGAAGAACTAGGTCTTGAAGGTTTTTCCAAGAATTAGTTTCAAGTTTGCTACTCAATTATATTCTTGGTCATTTGTGACTTTCTTCTTGATTTCATGTTTGTTCTTTACTTCCTCCAAAAACATTTGTAGTTCTCTTTTGCAGATTTTAGAGTGTTTAGTCAATTAGTCAATTCCTTCCTTCCTTTCTTCCTTCCTTCCTTCCTTTTTTGTGTGTGTAAGAGAACATCTATTTGATTTGGTAAAGCCCAGAGGTAGAAAAAGTAGTTCCTAGAAGAATAGGGCTTAGGAAACAAGATATGGAGGTAAAGGAATTTCTTTTCCTTCTTTGGATAATAATGTGTGAATTGACCTATCTGTATTCAAATTATTTCCCAAAAGTTTAGACAATTCAGTCTTTGATAGTTTGATAATTACATCTGTCCAGAGTTCAGAAAAAAACAGAAGTGAAACCAATGAACCACTGAAATAGTAATTAATAAAAGCTTATTGTACACACATCAAAAGACAGCGTGCAAGGGAGCACACACACCAACACATGGAATGAGGCTCAGGTGAATATTGTTATAAAGCAGCCTACACAGTGAAAACAGTGACTTTACTTTTCACAGTGATTGGTTATAGTATTAAAATTTTCTTAAATAATAGGGAATTGGTCAGTGGTTACCTCACAGTTCAAATTTTGGGAAATAGTTCAAATTTTGCGTACGATTTCCGGATGCATAACAAGAAATGATTCAGGTCAGGCTAGTCTTGCAAAAGAAGCTCAATTCAGCTTTGTTTGCTTGACTAAACTATTTCTGTTCAGGGAATTTTCAAGCTTGGTCTCTGTTTGTTTTGATAGTCACCAGAGGATATGTGTGTGTTTTTAAATTGATTTTTAGAGAGAGGAAGGGAGAGAGAGAGAGAGAGACATCGATGTGAGAGGGAAACATCCACCAGTTGCCTCCTGCATGAGCCCTGACCAATCCAGGATCGAACCCACAACCTAGGTATGTGCCTGGACTGGGAATCGAACTTGAGACCTTTTGGTGTCCAGAACGAGGCTCCAACCAACTAAACCACCCACCCATGGCTGTTTGTGTTTTATTTGAACATATCCAGCCTCTCACTTAAAATCTCAAATCGATGTCCAATATAGAACTTGAACTTAATATGATAAAAATGGAGTTCTATATTTTTCTTTCTCAGACCCCCGCCCGCACCTTCCCGGTCTCTTTCCCGGCAACTCCACATTTCCAGGTGCTCAGGCCAAGACCTTTGGGGTCGTCCTCGATGCCTCTCTTTTCTTTCCCGTTGCATGGCCAACCTGTCAGCCAATCCCTCCGGCCTCTACCTTAAAATGCCTCCAGAATCCGCCCGCGTCTCACCATCTCCTCTGCCATCGGCCTTGTCCAGCCGCCGCAATCTCTCACCTAGTCCAGAGCCGCCTCCCTGGGCCCCTTTCTGCACCTCGACTCCCTATAGTCTGCTCCCAGGACCCAGAGGATTCTGATAAAACCTCAGTCAGATCGCGTCTCATGTTGCCCCTCTGCTCGAATTCCTCCCGGAGCTTTCACCTGGCCATGGGTATGGT